TGTTTATCAAATGTAGAAGTCTATTGGAGAAGCCTTGAGGATTTTCTAAGATTATGTCATCAGCAAGCAGAGACAGTTTGACTTCTTCTTTTCCAATTTGGATGCCCTTTATTTCTTTCTCTTGCCTGATTGCTCTGGCTGGGACTTCCCTCATGAAATTTCTAAGTAAAATATTGAAGATGCTGCTTGGTTTCTCTTAATTGCTTATAGTAAAATACAACAAGAGATAAACTATGTAAACATGGATTGCTTTTTAATCAAAAGGAAAGCAAAACATTAAATTTTGGAAAATTCTCAGCCTATTCATATTGTAAGGAATAAAAAAGCATGTTCAAGAGAGAGCAAGAGTGTAACCAAGTGACTGTTTGATGAGGAAATTAGTATAGATCTGGTATCCCAGTGGAAACCAGGTGCTATTCATGACGACAATGAATGAATGACCCAAAAAATATTTTGGAGATTATTGGTGCTGCCCCTCTCATCACAGGCCCAGAACACAAGTGCCTGGGTTTCAGAACAATTTCAAGGCTCTGCTCCCTGCATACCACACAGCATTTCTTGACTGCCCCAGGTGTGGCTCCAGTGGGCCCAAGTGTGGCATAGGCTGTGGTAGCTGTTCCTTCAGAAAGTACAGACAGGAAACCACGGCAGCCTCAGTAAGGCACTGTCTCTACCAGAACGCAGGGTGCATGAGGCATGGGTCATGGCTATTTTCACCTAGATTTTGAAAGAAAAAGCCATTCAGAGTATTGAGTACCCAACCCAGGCCACCATGAGGGTGGGCCACCTCAGAGAGTCCCCACTAAGGCAGTGCTCTGTGGGTGGGGGAGGGGGAGCATCCCAGACTGGTAGAGTTACTAGCATATAATTCCAGCCCAGGATAGCCGAAGATAGGAGGCTCCAACTCATGACAACTGTGGTCGGAGCTGTGCCCAGCAAAGCCATGGGGACAGGGCCTCCAGGAGACTTGGTAGCCCAACCCCTGCCCAGCAAACCTCCAGAAATGGAACCCTCCAACCCAGTGGGCCTAGAGGGCAGAGGCTTCAGTCAAAGAAGGTTGTTTCTGAGCCTTAAGGTTTTGAACTTACTTGGAACATATTAGCCCTTCTTTTCTATTTTTCCCTTTTGGGATGAGAATGTCTATCCTGTACCTGTCCCACTATTGTATTTTGGAAGCACGTAACATGTTTGCTTTCATGGGTTCGCAACTGCAGAGCAACTTGCCTGTAAATGAATTGTATCTGGAGTCCTACCCATATCTGTTTTAGATGATGTTTAAATGAGACTCTGGACTTCAGAGTTTTCAGTTGATGCTGGAATGAGTTAAGACTTTGGAGGGTATTAGGGTGAATGTATTGTGCGTGTGAGAAGGGTGTGAATTTTGGTGGGTCAGGGATGGAATTCTATGGTCTATGGTTCCCTGAGTAATGCAGAAATACACTGTGTCTGTATTACTCGTTTGTGTCTCCCCAGAATTCTTATGTTGAAATCCTAACCATCAAGGTGATGGTATTAGGAAATGGGGGCTATCGAGAGGTGAATAGGTCATGAGGGCAGAACTCTCATGAGGGAGATCAATGCCCTTGTGAAATAGATCCAAGGGGGCTCTCTCAGTCTGCCCACCTTGTGAGGATATAGTGAGAAGGTACCATCTATGAAGCAGAAAGTGGCTTCTCACCAGACAGCAAATCTGCTAGCACCTTGATCTTGGACTTTCCAGCCTCCAGAACTGTGAGAAATAAATGTTGTTGATAAACCACCCAGTCTCTGGTATTTGTTATGGAAACCCAAATAAACTGAGACAATGTGTACATCTGCATTACTCATAGAACTGAAAACTGGAAGCAACCCAAATATGCATCAGCTGATAAATGGATTAATACATTGTGTTTTATTCATAAAATGAACTACTACTTAGCAATAAAAAGGGACAAAATATTAAATCGTACAGCATGAATGAGTCTCAAACCCTTCTACTAAATAAGTGAGACACAAAGACTCAATACTGTATTATTCTAATTATATGATATGCTAGAAACAGCAAAACTTTAAGTAACAGAAAGCAGGTCAGTGGTTGCCTTGAGTCAGAGGTTAGGGAAGGGGTTTGGAGAAAACATTTTTGAGTAATAAAAATGCTCAATATCTTAGGGGAATGTTATTGTATGTAAATTATACTTCAATGAACCTAGAAATAAATTAAATAGAAACAGAAAGCTAAGTAGACATATATAAAATATAAGTCACATTAATCTAAAATACTTAAAAATATGCATAAGTATTATGTTGTATGGCATTTTGGCATAACTAGAGCAATAGGAACTAAACGGCTGTGAATTGGATTATTTTTCCAGTCAGCACACATTTTTATCATTGTCATCTCCTCACTTTATTGCAAGTACAGTCAGCATCAATGTTGAGAACTTTTTCTCCTAGGAGGTACAGGATTTGGCTCTGACATGGTGTCGCCTCCAGAGTTGCTCAGAATCTAGGCTCCATCTGTTACAGGAAAGGGGTCCTAATCCAGACCCCAAGAGAAGGTTCTTGCACAAGAAAGAATTCAGGGCAAGTCCACAGTGCAAAGCAAAAGCAAGTTTATTAAGAAAGTAAGGGAATAGGCCGGGCGCGGTGGCTCAAGCCTGTAATCCCAGCACTTTGGGAGGCTCAGATGGGCGGATCATGAGGTTAGGAGATTGAGACCATCCTGGCTAATATGGTGAAACCCCGTCTCTACTGAAAAAAAATACAAAAAACTAGCCAGGGGAGGTGGCGGACGCCTGTAGTCCCAGCTACTCGGGAGGCTGAGGCAGGAGAATGGCGTAAACCCGGGAGGCGGAGCTTGCAGTGAGCTGAGATCCAGCCACTGCACTCCAGCCTGGGCAACAGAGCAAGACTCCGTCTCAAAAAAAAAAAAAAGTAAGGGAATAAAAGAATGGCTACTCCATAGAAAGAGCAACCCTGAGGACTGCTGGTTGACCATTTTTATGGTTATTTCTTAATGATATGCTAATCGACGGGTGGATTATTCATGCCTCCCCTTTCTAGACCATATAGGGTAACTTCCTGACATTGCCATGGCATTTGTAAACTGTCATGGTGCTGGTGGGAGTGTAGCAGTGAGGACCACCAGAGGTCACTATCATCGCCATCTTGGTTTTGGTGGGTTTTGGCTAGCTTCTTTACTGCAACCTGTTTTATCAGCAAGGTCTTTATGACCTATATTTTGTGCTGACCTCCTGTCTCATCCGGTGACTTAGAATGCCTTAACCATCTGGGAATGCAGCCCAGTAGGTCTCAGTCTCATTTTACCCAGCTCCTGTTCAAGATGGAGTTGCTCTAGTTCAAATGCCTCTGACACTTCTGCACCTGCCTAGGCTGCCTTCTTTCCTGAGATGTCCATAGCAGCAGAGTCAGCTTCTCCCTGCTTCCTGTCCATGGTATCCTGAGTGTCCTGGGACTTGAGACCCCAGAAACTTGGGACCGGGAAACTGCATGAGTGGTCTCCCCAGAAATTGCAAGTACCATTACCCAGCTTCAGTGGCATGGGGTAGGGGAAGAGGGCACTTCCAGGAAAGGCCCCTTCTGCATTCCTGGAATCAGAGAATCTAGAGATGTTGAAAAAGGAGCGACTCTGTTCCGAAGCTCAGACAGGAACAGGGACTGAGGCAAGGGAGGCTTCAGACAGACAGGGCTGCCCAGCCATCCTAAGCCCAAGTGAGAGGGGCTCTGGGCCCTAGAGTTGTCACACTTTCTTGCCCCTCTCCCTGACAGCAGGTGTCTGGGCTCCAGGCCACCAAAGGTGCAGCAACTCACAGCCTCCATACAGGCGGTGAGTGGAGACCATCCCTCCTCACCTAACTCCATACGTCCCAGTAGGCTTAAGTCAGGAGTAACTTCATGCTTTTCTGATGATCATCAAAGTTTGACTTTAGAAATAGTGACCAATCTCCTGAATTAAAATAAAGAACATTCCTCTTTGCTTGCAGATGCTTTAAATTCCTTCAAGACAGTTTTACTTTCAAATGTCTGGAATGAATAATTAAGCTAAATTCCTTCACCCTAAGGAGTAATCAGCAGTTCTAAATGATTCTTCCTGGTTCCAACTGGAAGAGGAGGTGCTAAAATGTGTGTGTGGTGTGGGGAAGCATAGAGAGAGATAAGGCTGGAAGACAAACTTGATCAACACCGTGACTTTTCAAAAGTAGCACAATTTGCTGTCCACAAGACAAAAAGACTGCTCAATGCAATATTTCTGCTACATGTGCCATGGCCTTGGTTCAAATGTGGGACCAGAGTTCATCAAGACCGTCAGAACACGATAGAAGGCAAGAAACCCCAAGCACCTCATTTCACTGGTGCAAACACAGGCCCAAGAGTGAGGAAGGATCCCAGGCTTTGCCATGTCAACCTCCAAGCTCTTTTCACCACATGCCTTTGTTACCAGAAAGGGTCCTGATCTAGACCCCAAGAGAGGGTTCTTAGATTTCACACAAGAAAGAATTTGGGGCAAGTCCATAAAGTAGAGTGAAAGCAAGTTTGCTAGAAACATAAAGAAACAAGAGATTGACTACTCCACGGGCAGAGAGCAGCAGCCTGGGCTGCTTGATTGAGCATACTTACGGTTATTTCTTGATTATATGCTAAACAGGGGGTAGATTATTCATGAGTTTTCTGGGAAAGGGGCAGGGATTTCCTGGAACTGAGGGTTCTTCCCCCTTGTAGATCATATAAGGGTAATTTCCAGGCATTGCTAAGGCATTTGTAAACTGTCATGGCACTGGTGGGAGTGTCTTTGAGCAGCTAGTGCATCATAATTAATGCATAAAGAGCAATGAGGACGACCAGAGGTCACTTTTGTCACCATCTTGGTTTTGGTGGCTTTGGGCCGGCTTCTTTATTGCATCCTGTTTTATCAGCAGAGTCTTTATGACCTGTATCTTGTGCTGACCTCCTGTCTCATCCTGTGACTAACCTCCCAGGAATGCAGCCCAGCAGGTCTCAGCCTTATATTTCCCAGCCCCTATTCAAGATGGAGTTGCTCTGGTTCAAATGCCTCTGACAGTACGATGGATTCCAGTAGTACTGTTCGGCTCAGAAAATAATGTCCCAAAATGAAGGCCTCAGAAGCAACCTCAGGAGCAAAAGATTTTCTGACTTTGTCCTTCTCACCTGTCTCTCAGTCCCACTCTCCCTCAAGGCTAGCCACAGAAACTAGAATCCCTTCTCCCCAAGGTAAGTCTTAGAAATCAGAAACCCTTTTCCCCAAAGCCAGCTATAAAACCTAAAAGTATTACTCTGCCTTTCTATGTAAAAACTGGCCATAAAGAAATGATCTGACCTACAGTGTTTGACGGTAGGTCATAAGGCCCCCATTGCGGAAAGGGTCTTGTCTCATACCCAGAGGAAGGAGTGCTGCACAGAGAGGCCGGGAAGAATCTAGACAGACACAGCCGTCCATACTTTGTTGAACCTGAGAATAAAAATGGACAATCTCCCCTGTACCTCTGGGTCTTCAGTCTGGAGGCTCCGTATATACACGTCAAATACATTTGTGTGCCTTTTCTCCAGTTAATCTGCCTTTTACACGCCGATTCTTCAGTGAACCTTCCACGGCCCCAGGGGAACTTTCCCACTGGCCCATGCAGTAGGGGACTGAAGGCGCTGTAGATAACTACCTCATCTCCCTGTTACAGTTCCAAAAGGATATGTGGGAGTCCTCGTCCCCAGTGCCTCAGAATGCGGCCTTGTTTGGCAATAAGGTTGTTGCAGACATAATTAGTCAAGATGAGGTCACACTGGAGCAGAGTGGGCCTTTTTACCAGTTTGAGTGGTAACCTCCTAGGAGGATGATATGAGGACATAGCGGGGAGAAGGCCATGTGAGAAGGGAGGCAGAGACTGGAGTTGTACAGCTTCTAGCCAACGAGTGTCGAGGATTGCTGGTTATCCCTGAAGTAGGAGAGAGGCAAGAAGGATTCTACCAGACTCTAAGGTTCTGGAAGACAGGCATGGCCTGACTCATTTTTCCCCTATAGTGTCTGTCTTATAGAGTGAGGGACTCCACAGGAAGCCAGTCCTTTCTTTAGTCATAAGAGCCCCAGAGGAAGTGAAGCCATTTCTTTAGTCACTGACAGAGCAAGAGCATCGCCGTCTTGGACAAGCACTGCCATTCTAAAGTTCACCTTGATCAAAACCCACCTAAATCCAAAGGGCATCAGCCTAATGGCTAAGGTCAGCATGACCATAAACCACAAATAATATCTCCGATCAGAAACATTCCGAACTCCTCCCCAACCAGAGACTTGTCAGCCCCAAAATGTCAGCCTCCCCTCCGACCAGAGACATTCCAACGCCATCATAAACTTCTCCCCTACACAGAAACATTCCAAGCTTGTGATAAGCCCCCTCACCATAAAACCAATATATACTCTTAGTCTGTAGGAGAATGTGCTCCCGACTGAAATGGGCCAGAAGTCCCTCTCAGGTTTATATCTCCAAAATAAACCTGTTCTTTGACTGTTGAGCTGCTTTTTGTGTTTCTTTCCTCTTTCTTTAATTCTTACAGTCGCAAGGGCCGCAGCGCTGTCCCCTAGCCCTGTGTTGGCTGGGCAGCAACTTTGACACACAAATGGGAGGTGGGAAATGGGGCTAATACTCTGGAGAAATAAGGATTCTTTTGTTCCCCATCCCGTCTGCATGGTATTCTTGAAGCCTGCTTGGGAGCTTTACTGGGGCCTGTGCTGCTGTTGATGGCCTTGACATTTCTCAGCCCCGTTCTTCTGTATGGGAATCCTCTGAGCAAACCTCTACCCCATCTCTGCCACAGACTATTAGAGGGAGCTGCTTATGCTTCTATCATCCCCTGAGACTACCCAGACAGAGGAGAGTCTTATTTATTTATCTGTCTCACTTATTTCCAAACCCCCAATACCCAGTGTTTGGCACATAACAGGATTCTGTGCAAGTGCTAAACTGAACAGGCCTGGTTTTTGTTGTTGTTGTTGTTGTTGTTGTTGTTGTTGTTTTTGAGACCGAGTTTTGCTCTGTTGCCCAGGCTGGAGTTCAATGCCATGATCTCGGCTCACTGCAACCTCCACCTCCTGGGCTCAAGTGATTCTCCTGCCTCAGCCTCCCGAGTAGTTGGGATTACAGGCATGCACCACCATGCCTGGCTAATTTTTGTATTTTTAGTAGAGACAGGGTTTCACCATGTTGGCCAGGCTGGTCTCAAACTCCTGACCTCAGGTAATCCACCCGCCTTGCCCTCCCAAAGTGCTGGAATTATAGGCATGAGCCACCGTGCCCAGCCAAGACCTGGCTATTTTAAAGTTTAGCTACAGGTTACAGAAAAAAAATTTTTTAACTCTATCAAACAGGATCAAGAGAATTCCTGAATAATCATTAGCATTCCATTGCTTAGCCAGAGCAACACAGTGGCTCAAAGATGTGTGTGTACATTTTGTATTTTATAGGCATGTAGCTCTAATAGAGAGGCTGGAAAGCTTGCCCTACTCATTTCTTCACAGTTTATTATGTGGAAAAACATAAGCCTTCTGTTTTCCTGGGTTGTTAACTTGGCACCTCATTTCATGTAGAGAACTTGCATTAAAAGATACTACCCCTGTGAGTTAATTAGCCATTTAAAGAACAAAACTACTTGACAGGATGTGGGACTCTCAGGGCTTATCCTCCATGAAGAATGACGTCAGAGGCCAGGGGAGGGGAGAGATTTATGACCTGGGTGCCCAATCACTGAATCCTCAAAACGATCTAATAAAGTTGGTCTAAGACCCACTCCAGAGACGATGGAATTGAGACTTAAAAAGGTTAAGTAATGAGTCCAACGTCAAAGGCTCTGATTCAAAAGAGGGGATTTTTTTTCCTAAGTAATTTATGTATTTATTTTGACATGTAAAAATTTTAGATATTTATTGTGTACGTATTCTGACATATGTAAACATTGTGGAAAGGCTAAATTGAGCTACTTAACATATGCATTGCCTCACATACTTGTTTTTGTAGTGAGGACCTTTAAAAAGCCAGAGATTTTTATTTATTTATTATTTATTTATTTAGAAGAGCTCTCCATCCAGCCCAGGCTGGAGTGCAATGACACAATCATGGCTCACTGTGGCCTCAACCTGCCAGGCTCAAGCAATCCTCCCACCTCAGCCTCCCGAGTAGCTGAGACCACAGGTTTGCCACCATGCCTGGCTAATTTTATTTATTTATTTGAGACAGCATCTCACTCTGTCGCCCAGGCTGAAGTACAGTGGCACCATCTCAGCTCACTGCAACCTCCACCTCCTGGGTTTATGCAATTCTCCTGTCTCAGCCTCCCAAGTAGCTGGGATTACAGGTACCTGCGACCACGCCCAGCTAAGTTTTTGTATTTTTAGTAGAGATGGAGTTTCACTACGTTGGCCAGGCTGGTCCCTAACTCCTGACCTCAAGTGATCTGCCCACTTCAGCCTCCCAAAGTGCGGGGATTACAGGCCTGAGCCACCATACCCAGTCTAATTTAAAAAAAAAAAAAAATTAAGAGATGGGGGTCTCTGTATGTTATGTACTTGGCTGGTCTTGAACTCCTGAGCTCAAGCAATTTTCCCTTCTCAGCCTCCCAAAGTGCTGAGATTACAGGCATGAGCCACTGCACCTGGCCTGGTCGGGTATTTACTGCAGAGTTGTACACAGTCAACTGACTGACTGGGATCCATATCCTAAGAGAATCTTTTTTCTTACAACCTGTATTTTTTTTTTCACTACACTAAAAATATGTTTATTGTAGAAAAACTAGAAATTGCTGACAAACAGAAATAATGCTTAAGTCACACATAATTCCACCACCTAGAGATAAATAGTGTTAATATTCGGGGTGAACATTCATTCAGATGTCACTGTGTATTTATCTATTTTTCACACAAATAGGATCACATTATACATGCAACATTATAACATGGTTTATTAACTAAGCAATATCATGAACATCTCTATGTCAACAAATGTACAGTGCAATTTTCATCAAATGATGCATAGTGGTCCATTAAAAAAAAAACATATTTAACCAATCCTGTACTGTTGAACCTTCAAGTTGTTTCAAAATCATCTTTGCTATTAGAAACAATACTATGACAAGGTTACCTAGCAGGAATGTGTTCAGAGAGAAGAGGACAAGCAGGGACACAGTGGCCCCGAAGACAAGGACAGGCCCCTGGGGACGAAATGAAGCCCAAAGGACACATTGAAAGTAGGATGGTGACTGTCAGGGGCTGGGAAAGGCAGAAATGGGGATTGCTGTTCAGTGGGTATGGAGCTTCAGTCCTGCAAAATGCAGATGTTCTAGAGATCTGCTGTGTAACACTGTGCATAAATTATAGTTACCAATACATTACTGTATACTTAAAAGATTGTTAAGAGTACATCTCATGTGATGTGTTTCTCACCACAATAAAATGCATATAATCGAAAAAACAAACAAACAAGTAACCAGAGGAGAACTACCACCAGGAAGGAAGGAGGGGTGTTAACAGAAGTCCATAGAAGAGACAATTTCACAAAGGGGACAGAACACCAAACACTGCAGTATTTGCTACCACACTAATAAATCGTCCATGAAGTCAGCTGGATGCTCTACAAAATCCATAAATGCAACATCACAAAATTGTCTCCCAAAGGCCTTGGATTTTCCCACCACAAAATGCAGCCCAATGGAGTTGGCAGGCAGGAGGTCAACTCCGGAGCCTGAAGCTGCTTTCTGGAAACAAGTCATTACTGACTCCTTGGTCCATGTTGGCACATGCCAATGAACGTAAGTGCTGCGTGTCACGAGCAATCTGGTGTTAGAGATAGAGTTGGCCCCTCGATAACAGAGACCCGTGTCCTGCCCAGAGCATGCACAACTACAGGGCCACACACACACAAATTGGCCAAAACCTTCTCTGTGGCCATCCTTTATCCTTTATTTATTTATTATTGGCTGCATTTCTTTTTTTAGGGAAGTTTTTACTTCTCCTCTGACATACTTAGTGTTATCCATTAAAAACTATTGACTGATTCAGTCACATCACCTACAAATATTAAAAGATCAATTTTAAAAATTCCTTCAAAATGTGCACAGGCACAAACCTGATATTACCCACTGTGAACTTAGGCCTCTTAAAGTTAGCCTCCATCTTTGACAACGTCACCGGTTCTATGTAAAAATTAATGTGCTTATGTAAGGGTATATCCTGTTCTATATCAGGTGAGACCTTCTGGACTTCTTAGGTGGGGCCCAAGATGGACTGCAAATGTCTTTTGGCTAGGGAAACCAACTTAGTCCCATGTTTGCCCAGGAGTTGCCTGGTTTTAGCACTGAAAGTCCCTTGTCCTGAGAAACCCCTCAGTCCTGGACAAACCAGAAAGTAGGATAGTCTGTCAGTCACCATGCACTTGGCACCAGTCAGTTCAGGTAGCTCTCTTTACCCAACTATCTGGAAACCTTGTTTTTGTTATAGAGTTCATAAGTCATTGATTGTGAACGAATGTCCACCTCTGAAGAAATTACATGCACTTTGTTAATAGTTAACATTGG